AATAAAATTAAATCCCAGGGGATGGAAAAATTAATACCATCTTAAAAGACCTAAAAGATGCATTATATTGTCATTTAACTGACCAATCAGATCCTACAATAGCCAGATAACTCCAGGAGGGCTTCAGCAGACTCAATCAAGTCAGAAGCCCATTGAAGGAAGGGGCTTTTATTTTTGGTGGCAAAATTAACGTAAACTAAAATTTGCCAGTGTCACCATCTTTTTTTTCTTTCTTTCCTTTTTTTTTTTTTTTGGTACTGGGGATTGAACCCAGGGCACTTAACCACTGAGCCACATCCCCAGCCCTTTTAAGTATTTTATTTAAAGACAGTGTTAGGGTTAGGGCTGATATTTGCTTAGGGCCTCACTAAATTGCTGAGGCTGACCTTCACCTTGAGATCCTTCTGTCTCAGCCTCCTGAGCGGCAGGGATTCCAGGATGCACCATACCGCCCGACTCATTGTCACCACCTTTAAGCGCCCGGTACAGTGGCATTGAGTACACCCCTCTTTGTGCCGCCATCGCTGCCATCCATCTCCAGAATTCTTTTCCTCTTGCTAAGTGGAAACTCAGTTCCCTTAGTGGCAAGCCGTCGTCTCCACTCTGCCCCAGCCCCTGCAACCCCGATTCTCAGGTGGATCTTTGCTAGGCAGGCTCGTCCGGCCTCAGGTGTGGTGTGTAGTCCCACTATTGACTCAGACACAGGACAAGAGAACCTCTGGAGTAGGGTGTGGAAATCTGAATTTATCAAGCTTACCAGATAGATAGGAAGGACAGGGTAAAAGAGAAGCCAAAACATCACCTCAATGACATGGGCGTGTGTGAATGCATGTCACAGCCTGTGGGGGCGAAGCCGCAGGAAGGCAATTATCCTGGTACTGCTGTCTGAGAAGTCCAGTCAGTGTTGGGCAGAGATGGATTCACCCCAGAGCTGCTGAGGCTCAAACCTGGGGCCCCTCAGGAGCACAGACATGGAGTTACAGATGTTCCGGGGCGGAGGGGAGACCAGGCACGACACCAGGAAGAATTCCCATGGAATTTTGGGTGTCTGGTAAATTGCTCAAAGAGAAACCAAACGGATGGGACGTGCATCGCCAAGTACCACCCATTTTATATGACATGTTTCTTTCATTCTGAATATTCATTTTCACCCTTAGGAGTTTATAGCCATCAAAAATCAGTCCCCTGGATCTGCCTTTGAGTTTTGAGGTCTGGGGTGGTTCTTGATTTTTTTCTTTTTTTAAGTCTGGCCTCGAACTCCTGGGCTCATGAGAGCCTCCTGCTTCAGCCTCCCGACTGCTCAGGACTGCAGGTGCGCGCCACCCACAGGCTGGTTCTTTGTCCTATGTTCCCTGAGATTTATTTTAAAAAATCCTAATATACCGAACACCAAGATGACCGGCTCTGCTCTGGGCTCACTCTCCACAACCGGAGCAGCAGCGAGCACGTATTCTGTTTGGAATTTTCTTGCTTTACCGCCGGACTCCTGGGCCAGGGAACCCCTCATTCACGCAACCGGGTTCTGCGATCGGCGGTCCCGCCCCTGCTCCCTGCTGCCCCCCAGTGGAACTCGGGCGGCAGCACCGCGCGCGCAGGGCGTGTCCTCCGGCGCCTTTCTCACGCTCCGGAAACCATTCTTCACGTTTTATTGGAGCTGCTCTAAGCGCCTGGGGCCTTGCCAGGGCCTCCGAGAGCCCTGAGTGAAACTTGTTACTCACTGGGAACCCCCGGTGGGTGGCTGCCTTCTCCCCCACATCACATGCCCAGGCAGCTCTCCGAAAGGGCGGTTCAGCCTCAGGGACACGCTCCCCAGACACAGCCACATTCTAGGGACCCACATAAGAACTAAAGCGGGGTGCAGCTCAGCGGCAGAACGCTTGCTTTGCCTGCACCAGGCCCAGGACTCCATCCCCAGCTCCAGGGGAAATAAGCCCGTGGCTGGATCTGTTCTCCAGGACAGCTCTGCCAACCTGTATGTTTCTGGAAAGTAAATTTGCAAAACAAATAACTAAATAAAAAGTGAAAAGTCAATACGGGCTTGATGTGGTGGGGTGTGCCTGGGCAGAGGCTTCCAGACCCCTGAGGAGGGCAAGACCACCCCTGGACCCTGGCCAAGACCACTGACCTTTTCCACTCTGCCAATCTAGCTGTGGCCATAAACTGGTATAGGTGTTGGGCATGAGGTGAGAAGGCCCTCTTTGCCACTGTCACCTCCAGAGGGGAGATCCCAAAGGGAGGGCTTAGGGGATGCCACAAGGCCTCGGGTTCTCCCGATTTTTCAGCAGATTCATAGGTTCATTCTGCTCCTGTCCCAGGTGAACCAGCAGGAGACTGACCTGCAGGAGACTCCATGCACAGGTTGGCAGCAAAACCTGTAAACGCCTGCGGGAGGATTTCTCCTTAGCAACCCACTCTTTAGCCTCACACCCATAGAGACGGGACTTGACCTCTCCCAAATACCTGGTGCCAGAGGAGCAGGTGGGGACCTGTCTCCTCAGGAGTACATGTTTCAGCAAGATGAGTTCCCAGACACCTCAGTGCTCTGACTGTCCTTGGGTCACAGAATCATTTCACCCACTGGTTTCATGAGAGAGAGAGAGAGAGAGAGAGAGAGACAGACAGACATGGGGGCCTTTCCTTCAGATGAGATGTGGGGATCTTAAAATGCCCTGTGAGCTCCATGCTCCTCTGTGGGCAGTGGAGATAGATCTCAGTGATAAAGCCCCTGTTTAGCAAGCACAAGGCCCTGGGTTCAACCCCCAGTACTGGGGGGGGGGGGGGGGGAGGCAAAGAAAGAGCCACTGCCTGCACACTTTTGGCCATCAGAGGGGTCCTGCAGCTAGAGAGTTGCCAGGAAGAGGTGCCTGCCTGCCTTATGGAGGAGGCTGTGGGGTCCCTGCTGCATAAGCCCAGCTGAAATCTCCAGCCCAGTCCTCCCTGACAGCTCCTGCTCATGCCTGCTAAGAACCTCTGGCTTCTGCCTCCCGCCCAGAACTTTTCGTGCCTTGGCATGCCAGTGCCCAGCTGACTGCCCAACTCGGGTCCCCCAGAGCACCTGACCCTGTGCGTCACTGGTCTATCCACTCTCACCCCCCTCCCCAACTGCTTGTCCTGTAACCAGAGGGGACCGATCCAGTGCAGGTCATAGAATTGGGAGCCAAGATAGGTGTTCAGATGCAAGAGGTGGCAACAGAGAGACTTCTGCCAATTCCCACCTGGTTTAAACCCATACTGAAAGTTTTTATTTCTGGAGACAAGAATCCTGTCCTCTGCGAGCCTGAAGCAAAGCTCTGCAGCCAAGGAGGAAGCTGGAGCTCACAGGGTGGACATGGGCCAGGGGTTACCTGCCCCTTATGCTTAAATGAACTCTGGAAAGTGGGCCACATTTGTCCTTCCAAGAAGCACTGGCCTTCATGGAATAAATATTTAAAAGTGAACCCAGGGCTAAGCAACTCAGTGAAACCCTGTCTCTAAATAAAAATACAAAATAGGGCTGGGAATGAGGCTCAGTGGCCACATTCAATCCCCAATATCCCCCACCCCCCCAAAAAAAAAGAGCGAGCCCAGGGGCCCAGGGTGGGAGTTAAGCGAAAACTCAGGCTGGGCAAGCTTTAGCACCCTGCACCCAATCACACCTCTGTTCACTAGTCTACCATGTTTATTGAGCACCACTGTACACCCGGTGCCCTGGACACTCAGCCCCAGCCCTGCCCTCTGGGAGTTTATAGTCTAGTCATGGCCCATTGAAGCCTTTGGGGGCACCTCACCCTGTTGTCTTGATGTTCATTTCTTTTTCCAGGAATGCCCACAGCTTTCCCCACATCCTGTTACCCAAACCAGTGCCCAGATCCTCATGGGTTTGTGTGGCATAGGCTGACTTAGTGACTACCCTTTCCTCATCAGTTTTGCCTTCTTTCCTCTTGTGCCTAGGTCCCTAGCACAGGCTGTTGGTCTGGGGGCTGGGGGAGAACTCCCTATCTTCCAGCAATGCTCCCAGCAATTTCCCCCAGGAAATGACGAGAGTGACTGACAGTGGGCAGCAAGTCCTCCAACCCCCTCTGGGGCACCATTACCGGGATCCACAGGTACCCCCTGGGGTCCTCCCAGCGAGCCTCCTGCCTTTCTTAGGGAAGAAAGAAACTTGTTCTTAAGAACAATTTGATTCCAGTAACCAGTCCCCAGGAACTGTAGAGAAAGCAGGCAGGGGTCTCCTGTTCCCATTTCTGTCACCCTGTGGCATGGACCCTGTTCCACTCATACCGCACCACAGCTGTGCTGGGCTCAGGCCCTCCAAAGAGACAAACTTCCTTCTCATCGCACCCCTCTGTACACCCCCAAACTACCTTATGCTTGGGAAAATAAATCCTTCCAAGACCACCTTAGGAAGCCCTCACCCGCAGCCACATAAGTAACTGGGGAGGACAGCCTAGGAGTGGAGGTGACGGCTCTCCAGCCCTACATTTCTTTTACCTTTTTCTGATGCTCTGCGGAGCCATGGCAGTGACCAAAACCCCAAAGGCCATCACCTTAGATTTCCAAGCCCAGCTGGGCAGGAAGTAGGCCCAAGCAGGACTGGGCAGGCAGTGATCAGTCTAAGCAGATGGCTGCACCTGGCCAGGTGAGCTCCTGGCCCAGGCCTTGGTCTGGTGCCAGCCCTATGGCAGGTGCATCACTGCCCAGGCAGTTTGTGGCTAGCGCAGTTCCAGAGCCAGCTGGGACAGGGAGGGCTTGTTCCTCACCCTACAGCCACTTGCCCCTTCTCCTATCTAGACACGTCTAACCTGGGGGTGAAGCAGGGCAGCTCCCCTTATTTGTTCCGGCTGAATCCTTGAGGGCTGCAGTCTTCCACACGGGTCACAAACATCCCATTCCAGCCTTCATGTGGGTGCTAGGCTGGTCCCTCTTTATGGGAACAGTGGCCACCACCAAGAGCTTCCTTGGCCTGCCTGGGGCCTTCCAGTTCCCTTGCAGTCACCAGGGCCCGTGGACCGGCCAAGGGACTACCACGGCCGCCAGAGCCCAGGGCCACCGGGAGGTGCAGGTGGAGAGGGCGCAGGAGCCTGCGCAGGTGGTGGCGCTGGCGAGGGAGGCCCATCAGAGTCTCCAGCCCGCCAGCCACCAGGGGTAACGCTTGATGCCCTTCGACGAAGGTGCTCCAGCAGGCGCGCGCTTACGGTGGGCTCCAGGACGCGGCAGGCAGGCAGCAAACGAGTCAGGCGAGCCAGACAGGCACTGTAGCCTTCTTGGTAGCTGTCGCGTGGCGCTGCGGAGGGAGAGAGGCGTGAGACACCCAGGGTGAAAGGTGCAGAGCGCAGGGGACAGGGCAAAGGGTGTGGTAGGCGGGGAGTGGGAGCAGGGTCACTCACGTGGCACTTCCGGGGGGTAGGGGGACGCAGGCAGCTCCTGCAGGAAGCGCACGGTCATTTCCAGAATGTCGGCCTTCTCCAACTTTGAGAAGCGCGAGTTCTGCCCCAGGCCGCGAGGGAGAGGAACAGAGACGAACAAACAAAACACATCTCTGACAGCAGCCACCAACAGCACTGAGCTCTAGCCGTGAGCTGAGCTCCAGGCGCGCCGGGGTCCTCGGTGGGTCGGCTCCTCAGTGCCTGTCCCGCCGAGGCTTGGCCTTGGGATCCCTGTAGCCTGTTCCTCAGGCAGGAGCACTGCCCGCCCTTGGCGCCCCAGGGCCCTCCACCTCCGCTTCCCGGTTCACTGAACCGCGACGAACCCCTGGGAACTCACCTCCCTGCCCAGCAGAGGCAGGATGAGCCCCTTGAGCTGGCTCAGGCTCTCATTGATGCGTGCGCGCCTGCGCTTCTCCAGCAGCGGCTTCAGGGTCTGTGGGCGCGAGGTTGAGCGCAGCGGCTGCGGTTAGGTGGGTGGCGGTGCCGGATCCCTCCCGCCTCCAGTCCCCAGTTCCTACCTTGCGCAGCTCTGCCGCATCCCCTGCCGGGCGAGGCAGTCCCATGCTCGGAGGAAAGTGGCGGTGGCTGCGGGTCCCGCGCGGGGGGAGACCTGGGTCGGCAGGAAGAGCCGAGACAGAGACCAAGACCGAAGTCCGGGGCGCGGCCCGGGCCCGCGCCAAAGAAGTGTACTGCGCCTGCAGCCGGGTTTAAGTCGGCGGCGTCACCGCCCCGCCCCGCCACTCCCACCTCTCGCCTTTGTTCCTACTAAGGATAAGGTTAAAGGGGAACACGGTGGTGCCCCCAGGGATGCCGCTCCGGGCCTTCCAACCCAGCTGCGGCAGGGGTCACGGAATCCGTGGGCGTTATTGGGCTCTTAACAGCGCTGACCCGGTGGGCAGAAAGGGCGGGTGAAGCCAGGCTTGCCGTGGCTCTGGCTGTGGGCCCTCGTCTCCAACGCCGCCCTTCTTCATTCACGCCCCGCAGGAGGACTCAGAGAGTTCTATGAGCGGGGCAGGGACCCAGAGGCTGCAGGCGTGCCAAGGTCAGGGTCTCAGGGAGAGCCCACGAAGATTACTAGGAGACACTCCTGCCACCAGCTGCTCTGAGCTGGGCGGGGAAACTGAGGCCCCGAGAGAGGTCGCGTCTTGTCCTGGCCCTAGCTGTTGGGAACGACCAAGTCAGGACTAGCACGCGGGAGGTTAGACTTCTCTATAAACTCCTCCGCGGCTCGCCAGAGATCAGCTGGTTCCCCACCCTCGGTTTTGGATAGGGAAATTAAGCCTCAAAGGAGGCAACCCAGAACCCCCTTGGAGTTCATTTTTATCTCACCAGGGCTCCAGATTCCCCACCCGCAGGACAGTCGGGACTCACGTGACTAGCAGGCGGAGCGTCCTAGGTGTCGGTTCTCCGCCGCCCTCCTCTGGGAGTGGGGGGCCAGCGGCGCGCCAGGGCACGCCTCCGCGACGCGTGGCCGTTGCTGCTGCAAACTGGCAGGCGTCCCCCGCCCATCTGCTACGGGCTCCCTTCCCCCGATGGGCTGGCGGGGCAACGGCCACCCCTGCGGACCACAATGCAAACTGCGGGGCAGATTGTTGAACGCGCAGTTGGCGGAACCCACCAAGCCAAATCCAGGAGGAAGTGCGATGGGGCTAAGCCAAGGCAGGCTCTGTCCAGGGTGCTGGATGGACCCCTTCTTTCTCCAGCATAGCCCAACCCCCACTTCTAGCCCAGGGCACCTTGGGGGTGGAGGACCCACTCCTGTGTGTACCAAGCAGAGGACCTCTGGTCACAATCCAGGAGTACTTTCTGTGTGCTAAGCTCAGGGCCAAACTCTTTTTTTTGTTTTGTTTTTGTTTTTGTTTTTAAAGAGAGAGTGAGAGAGATAGAGGTAGAGAGAGAGAGAATTTTTTAATATTTAATATTTATTTTTTAGTATTTGGCGGACACAACATCTTTGTTTTTATGTGGTGCTGAGGATCGAACCCGGGCGGCACGCATGCCAGGCGAGCGCACTACCGCTTGAGCCACATCCCAGCCCCAGGGCCAAACTCTTTTTCCCCTAACTTCCATGAATCCTCATAACAGTTCCAATTATGAGAATAAAGCATTCAATACGTGTGTCCTAGCAAGGCTTGGGGGTGCCCTGTCCCTCACTCATGGTTGTTTAGATGCCTATGAGCCAGCCTCCTCTAAGGGAATTATTATTTAAGAGCTTTGCAGATCACTCCACTTATGCAGCCCAGGCCATATACACTGATGGCCCACCCCCCACCAAAACCTGCATCGTTGAGGAGAGACCGATACTGAGGGGAAGGCAGTTCGTCCTGAGACACCCCACTTCAGGCCTAGGGACACTATTTGAGGACAGGGGGCAGAGGAACACACTCTTTTGCAATGCCAGTTACTCCTGAATTTAAGTCTCTCCCTCACCACTCCCCCATGACTATAAAGGACTTTGGCCAGGTCACTCACAGTTTGCTTCAACCACAGGATTGTGGGGTCTTGTTGCTTATTGGAAGGAGTCCTTCAGAATTGGAGCGACTTAGGTGTGACAGCTGGGTGGACAGGATGTAGGGTGCAGGCTTTAGGTGAGCTAGGGCCTCCTACAGGGCCATGGGGACACAGTCCATCCTGGTCTCCACTCCTGGGAAGTACATTGACCCGTGGGTGGGAGAGAGGCCTGAACTTAGCCTGAACAGTTTTTTCCCACCCACCAGCTGGGCCCTCTCACTCTCTGGATGGGGCCTGTGGTCACTGGGATCTGGGATCTCTTCCCAGCAGTTTCTGGATACCTGACAGCCTCACTACTGTCTGTCATGGTATGGCAGACATGGCATGTCTGTCTCAGATTCCATCAGAGGTGAAAGGAGAGAGTCCTCAAGTTGACACTTAGAAGGTGGGAGGCAATGGGGTGCTCTGGCCAGAGAACTTCAAGTACCAAGGGAAGAAGAGCACAGCAAGGTCAGTGGAGAGTGTGCTTTGCCATTTCCCAGATTTTTGCGGGGGGGGGGGGGGGTACCAGGGATTGAACTCAGGGAACCTTGACCACTGAGCCATATCCCCAGCCCTTTATTTTGTATTTTATTTAGAGACACAGCCTCACAGAGTTGCTTAGTGCCTCGCCATTGCTGAGGCTGGCTTTGAACTTATATCCTCCTGTCTCAGCTTCCAGAGCCACTGGGATTACAGGTGTGTGCCACTGTGCCTGGCCTCCCATATGCAACATCTTAGGAGAGATGACTTAAAACAAGCTCCTGGTGCTTCATTTTCCTCTGCTCTGAGATCAGGACAACAGCTATACTTCCTTCAGCCTCCCTGTGTGAATTAATATCCAGGTGAAGCTTGGAACAAACCTGATAAGTGGCAAGAGTTCCATGCATGTGTCATGTCTTGAGGGGCCTCTTTGGTGTTGCTAGAAAGGACCCAGCAGGCTCAGTGGATGTGGGGGGCCCAGAGAGGACAAAAAGGCCTGGCAGAAAGGGCCAGGCTTCCAGTCTGAGTGTATGCTGTGTCCTCAGGGAATCTGAGAAACAGGTTAACGGGGGTGGGTGCTCATGCCTGGCATTTGTATAGATGTCACTAGCAGAGTGGGAGGGGCCAAGGGGCATCTGCCTTATTCAGAGGGATGGTAGCAGTGCATGTAATAGATGAGGTGTCCATGGCTGGGGGAGGGCACCTTGGGGGTGGAGGACATGAATTGCAGGGATTTGTACTCATGAAGGAGTCACAGGGGAACAGAACTCAAGAAAGACAATTTAGTTCCTCGCTCGGGCTACTTGCTGGCTGGGGGCACTGCCTCTCTGGGCATGCTGGAGGAGGGCAGTCTGAAGGCAGCGAGTGCATTGCTCTGGCCATAACAGACATAGTAGTGAGGCTGTCAGGAATCCAGAAACTGCTGGGAAGAGGTCCCAGATCCCAAGGACCACAGGCTCCATCCAGAGAGTGAGAGGGTCCAGCTGGGTTGAAGTCGTTGGAAACCCACCTGGCCAGGGCACAGTGGCTCTGGTTTTTAGGTCACCAGGGTGCTGAAAGCCACCACGCCTGGCGCCATCAGGTGGCGGCCCCAGAGAATGGTATGGGAGGCAGCCGCAGAGATCAGAAGGAAGACTTCAAGTGTTCCTGGAAGCAGCTTCATTCTACAGCTTATCCAGAGCCGCCTTGTGCCGGCAGGTGCCAGGCGCTGGGTGAAAGTCGGCAGCGGACAGGGGCTGGGCTCTCATGGGTCTCCGATGGGGGTGGGGTGAGGTGGGATGAGAAAGGAAGGGCACAGGCTGTATCAAGGTCGCTCGATATGCTTATTGCGCTTCTTACAGCTACGCAGCCCCCACTTTCTGGCATTTCTGCTCGGGTCCAGAGGTCCTTGCCTCCTCCAGCTCCCACAACCGGTTTCTAGCCACGCCCGCAGGGTTTGGTGCACATGCGCTCCGCCGCCCGCCCTCGGGCGCCTTCCTGCGTCCTAGCGCGGGGTCATGGCATCTTACTTCTGGATGACGGCGCTGGTGCGTCTCCCGCTGGCCCCAGCCCTCACACCCCCACTTTCTCTTCTGGCTTGGCAGCCCCAGGCCTTCAAGCCCATGGTCGACAGCGGCCCTGCGAGATCTGAATCTGCGGTGTCCAAACCCACAGTTCTGAGCTCACTGGCCACGCCTGTCCTTTCCTCCTTCTCTCTCTCCCTCCCAGAGGACCTGAGGGCAGTGAGTAGGTTTGAAGGCAGAGACTCTCGGGAGCCCTCGAGGGCTTGGTGGGCCTGTTCCTACCTCAGGGCCTTTGTCCTTTCAGACCTCTCCCCTCCACCGGTAATGCATGTCCCTTTTCATCCCCCTAAACCTAGACACTTCCTTCAGATGGATCTTTCTCTGGCCGATCAAGTCGCCCCGACAAATCACTTCCTATTACCCCCTTTTGCCTGTTCTAATGACACGTGTCATCCCCTGGAACTGCAATCGTCGCTGGCTTGTGTCTCCAGAGCCCACATAGTGGCCAAATGGGCAGATGAATGACTTCCTCTGCGCCTGGACGGCTCTCGAATTCTAGCCCGGTCTTTTGGGGCCTCAGTTTTTAAGTGAGGCAAATTAGGAAAGAAGCCCTGAATGCACCTGTCCCTGTCACTCGAGTGGTCCCCGCGGGCTGGGGACTCTGGGCCGCGGAGGCGGGGCGAAAGGGGGCGTGGCGGGGGCGGGCCCGTGGCTTAAGCTGGACGCCCGCGGGGTCCCCGCCCCAGAGTCAGCCGAGGCGGAGCGGAGCGTTAAGCGGTGCAGATCCAGGGCCAGGCAGACAGCCGCTCCGCCTTCCGGGTCCGCACAGCCCCGACGGCCCAGCCACGAGCATGGCACCCCGGGAAACGCACTGAGCGCAGGGTCGCGGCGCCGCGGGCGGCACAATGGCCCTGGAGCAGGCACTGCAGGCGGCGCGGCAGGGAGATTTGGATGTGCTGAGGTCCCTGCATGCAGCCAACCTGCTGGGGCCCTCCCTGCGCGACCCCCTGGACGCCCTGCCTGTGCACCACGCGGCCCGCGCGGGCAAGCTGCACTGTCTGCGCTTCTTGGTGGAGGAGGCAGCCCTG